GTGTGTGTGTGTGTGTGTGTCCACCCCCCTGTTCTACAGGATTCGAATTGCGCTCTAGCTAAAGCAGGGGGTGCAAGCAGCTCGTTCAGTCTTGTACCAACGAACACATTGAACAAGAGCTGGAGAATTGCGATGGGACGCCATCGGACGTACCTATGCATCTAACATCCTCGCTGTATGTGGTTGTCCTCGCGGTTGCTTTGATTCTGATGCAAGTGAGTGCGCATTTGAGGGTTTCCCTCGTTGTCGCTTCGACCTTGCACGTGGATGCACACTCTTTATCTTTATCTTTATCTATATATATATATATCTGGTACCCCCCCCCCGGTACCTAGGTCGAGGGAGGGGGTTCGACAATAAAAGGTCTTGGTTTTACCAACATTTGCAACAATTTCCATGCTTTCCAAACTATGGCTCCGGTTGACGTGATTTCTCGAAATTCATGGAAATTGTTGGTTTTACCAACATTTTCGATGATTTCCCACAGACAAATCATGGAATATGTTGGATTTACCAACCCAACAATTTCCATGATTTTCGGAACTATGGCTCCGGCTCACGTGGTTTCTCGAAATTCACGGATATTGTTGGTTTTACCAACATTTTCGATGATTTCCCACAGACAAATCATGGAATATGTTGGTTTTACCAACATTTCCAACAATTTTCATGATTTTGCAAACTATGGCTCTGTCTCACGAGGTTTCTCGAAATTCATGGAAATTGTTGGTTGCACCACCATTTTTCCATGCTTCCCACAGACAAATCATGGAATATGTTGGTTTTACCAACATTTCCAACAATTTCCATGATTTTGCAAACTATGGCTCCAGCTCACGTGGTTTCTCGAAATTCATGGAAATTGTTGGTTTTACCAGCAGTTTCCATGTTTTCCCACAGACAAATCATGGAATATGTTTGTTTTACCAACAAAAAAACAATTTCCATGATTTTCGGAACTATGGCTGCGGCTCACGTGGTTTCTCGAAATTCATGGAAATTGTTGGTTTTACCAACGTTTTCCGTGAGCCAGTCATGGAAATTGTTGGTTTTACCAACAATCTCCATGATTTTCGGAACTATGGCTCTGGCTCACGAAGTTTCTCGATATTCATGGAAATTGTTGGATTGTTGGTTTATGCCGACTCTCCAGAACGACTTGAGGCCTGCCGACCCATTGTGTCAGGTGTGTGTGCAACTGTGTAGCCGAGCCCCTCCCGCTCCTGAGAATTGGGCCGAATACGAACGCCCATCCTCGTGAAATTCCACAGCTTTCGGGTCCACAGAAAATTCCTTGGCACTTCGTCCGACGAGACACTCTGCCAATTCCCGACAAGTCTTAGGCCCTAGGCCCGCGCCACACTCGAGGGAAGGGTAAGTGTGGTTATCGATAACGAAAAAAGTAGTCATGGAAACCAAGGCCAGGAGTCGCAACAGGAATCATCTTGACTGCGGCAATCCAACAAAAAACATGAAACCCAAAGCCTCTACCGCACACCGCCAGCTTGGGAAACCTTCCTGAACACCTGAACCCTGGCCCTGAACCCTGAAGCCCTCAAGCGCTTAATCCTGCATCATGCACGGCGCACTGTCAACACGACTGGGGCACTCAAGAGTTTGTGTAATTCCCGGAAAGCCAGAATCTGTCAGAAAACACTCCGAAAGCCCGCAGAAATGTCAGAAGCAGGCCAAAAAAATCCTGGAAGACTACCTATCAGACCTATCATCACTTCTACCAGTTAACTAGCTGGTTGGTTCTTGGGAATTTATTGTGCTGCTCTTGCTGCGAGGTTGGACGAAAGCCAGATTGCATCAACTGCACATCAAGCTTACGGCCCACAGAAGAGGATGCGATCTGTCAGAAGCTGTCAACAGGAACCTCAACGACATCAGTGTTCGCTTTTGTTGCATGTTCGTACAGTGTTTTTCCCACAGAGGTGCTGGTGGTGTTGCTGCTGGTGCTTGCGGAGGTGGTGACGGTGATGTCGGCAGCCTGTGTTGCTTCTACTGGCCCGCTGGCGCGGTAACCCTTGTGGGGTCATGCAGGGACAATGGATTTCGCAAGTGCTCTCCCACAAATCAGGCGCGCAGGTCAAAGGGAACCAAGACCCTGGAACGACGACAGAGTAGATCCATTTAATGTGCACCCTGGCTCCAGCAGCTTCGCTGTCAGCAAGAGCGCCGGCTCCTGACATGTAAGGCTGAGGGCTGTGATCTTTCCGCAGCATGATGCGGCAGAACGACACAGGAAAAACAATGAAAATCAGTGCAACTACAGTAACAAGGGCCAAAGCAACAGCAAGCGGTGAAGTAAAGAGGTTCCCCGTGAAGGCTCCAACAACGAAAGTCACAACGGTCTTTGCTACAGAAACTTGACAGTGACAAATCTTCTGGTAGCCGATGTTCTCTGCAGAAATTCTGCTGAAGTAGCGGAGCAGGCACAATCCTGGCCTGCTCACTGACCCGCTCTAACTTTGAAGTGTGCTGCTTCGTCGTATTTCGTCGTCTTCGCAGAGGAACATGCTGACCAGACTCAAGATGCCTTCCTAGGTGCAGGATGATTTTCCGTCCTGCCTCCGTCTGACAGGGCCAATGATGGAATTCGCAATTCCCGGGAGGAATCACAGTTGGCAGAATCTACGAATGTCGACAAATCTGGTCGCTTTTGCGGACAAGAAGTCGACAATAGGGTTGCATCCGGAAACAACCACAGCCCCATCGCCTCTGCGACACAGCAGGCTGCGAGGCCAAGAGCTGTCAGAGCCGGGCGCTGTGCCGAAGGCAGGCTACGGAGGTTTACCTGCAGGGAACCGAGTCAGATCTGAGCTAAAGGGTCAGACATTGGAGGCAGGAAGACTCTCAATGGGTTTGCGAAGCCCGTCTTCTTGAAGGCTTTTCGCTGGTTTGTCAGGATGGGACCGTGCATGGGAGATCGTCTAGCAGTCTATCGAGCTGATTCTTCGAGCGTTAGCAAGCTCGATCTACCTCCGCACCAGGAACCCTCAGAACACACAGCTCTTGCAGTGCTTTCGTACTCACAACTGAGGCTTTTCATGTTGCGTGGTCGCATGCTTTCGCTGTGACGCTTCTTTTTGTAACCCGGTGCTAGGATTCTGTTGCGCGGATGTACAGCCGATTGCTACCGTGGCGACTAATGATACAAGGATTTGCTCGAGGAAGTGCGCAACAGAGACCAGCTAGCTCGACAAGGAGTCTGCAAGAGCGCTGGAAACATCGATTTTAACGAAAACCTCGTGGATGGAAAGGCACTGCCAGATTTATCGTGTGCAATCTGCGCCGGCCAACACTGCAGGTCTGTGCATGCGAGTACATGCGCGCCTCCGCGCCCGAGTGCAACAGCACTGCTAGCCGCCGCGCATCGCCCTTGGTCACACGACTTGCAAAAAATGAAGAGGTCCTATAGCACCAAGCAGCAGAATGCTTGGTGTGTCGACGACAGCAAACGTTAAAAGGTGCTAACCGCTGCTAACCAGTAAGCACACAGAAGCAAAAGACAAAACGAGTGCTAGAGGTGAGAAGAGCAATCCCCTCTTAGAGTGACTGCGCAAGACATGGCGGTAGACTCAGTCAGTACGACTCAAACTGAGCCCACTTTCTCACTCCAAGCAGATGAAACTCTGAAAGAGCCTTTGTCTATACAACAACCGATAAACTTTTTAAACGATCCCAAAACTGTCGAAACAGCCAGTGCTGGGGTTCTGGGAGGCTTCCATCAGTGAATCAGTGCTGCAGCAAGAGCCCAAAGACTCTGAAACCCAAATCACAGCTCCAATTCCGACCGCTTCTCGGAACAGCATAGCAAAAGCATTTCAGCGACCCCTACGCGTGTCCCAAGTAGTCAATGATGGAGCAGTGAGCAGTGAGTAGTGTGCACTTGCAGCGCCTGCAAACTCGAGACATGCACGTCGCAAAATTGAGGACGCGAGCTGCCTAATAGCAGCCTGTACTAAACGCTTGCCGATGCAAGTTTGATAAGTTAAACCCCGAAGCAGCCGCGTTTGTTTACAGAAGAGCGGACCTGCAAGGTTCGACGATGTAGAGCAGAAAATCCATGAGAGTCGAGGTCGTCCTCTCCACAGGCAACGCTCAAATCAAACTTTCAGAAGTATCCCAATTCACTTGCATAAGTTACACAAACTTCTCTAACAGTAGCAAGACTGCAATCCTCTTGGGCAGACTCGACCAGACAAAATGCTTGGGTATTGCTAAGGTCCCAAGATCACGGCCTCAATCCAAAAACCTTCCTTACATACGTACCCTATACTCTGGACTCTAAGCCCTTTGTTGCCCTTCGTCCTTCATGACAGCGTAGACTTGCAAACTCCAGAAATCTGGGGCCCCAAGAATGCGGGCCACGGAAAGTAGGATGATAATACAAAATAGGATTGTAATCATTAATTCGGGACGTTACAACTCCCACCATTGGTACGTGCTACGATGATTCCTGCTCGTCCTCAGTCCTCCTCCTTCCTACTGCTCCTCCTCCTGCTTGCTGCTCCTGCTCCTGCTCCTGCTCCTGCTCCTGCTCCTTCTCCTCCTGCTCCTCCTCCTCTTCCTGCACGCACGCAAGCCTACCGTACGTACGCACGTATGTGCGTACATGCGCTCTATCTGCATACAAATCGACAGTCAAAAGTGAATATTGCTGCTGCTGATGCTGCTGCTGCTACTACTGCTACTACTTTGTTCTAGTACTAGTACTGCTAGAACTACTGCTGATACTACTACTACTACTACTACTACTACTACTTCTACTTACTACTCCCACGGTTGCTACTAGTTGAAATTCCCTGCAACGCTGCGATACATTGCGTTCTCCGGGCCTTCTCTGCAAAGACCACCTCCGGCTTTCTGGGGAAGTCCTGACAGTGGAACATTTTAAAGAAGCTGCGGCACGACGGAGACCATCTCGGCCAGAGCGAAACGAGCAGCCAAGGTTTCCAAATCAGTGAATTCAGAAGGCCGGCCGCCTCAGTAGGCTATAGAATCAACTCAGCTGAAAGTGGGTTACAATAACATGCGATCAACCACGACTGAAGTCTGCATATGGCAAGGTTAATTGAAAAGTCCTCTGGAAGAGCCGCGACTTGCCCGATGACATCGTTCCACTTGAAGTTCTGATTCTCGAAGGCCTTCCTGCTCAGGTTGAGCAAAGTACCCAGAAGATTGTCTTGCCTCCTGAAGCCAGGTGCGAGCTAGGCAGGATCAGCTGCACTCATGCTTTGCAAGCGCTGGAAGTGGCAAGAACAGGCCACCACTTGAGAAAGTTGCGAAGCTGCAGTTTGCCAACAATCCCCACCTTGCCTCATGACATTCGTCCGAACCTGCCACGGTCCAAGCTAGAATGCCACTCAAACATGCGGCTCGGCAAGTTGGCCTTAAGATCCCCGAAGCTGCGCCCAGACCCATTCCCTGAAACCTTTAGGCACCGAAACATGCAAAGAGATCAATCCATCCAAAGACGAAGGTCGATGGTCTATACGGCCACATGTGCGGGCAAAGCGTTTCTGCTAACCGCATGCCTTGCAACTTACCGCGACATGAACTTCCGAACCGCGAAGTCGCAACGCACTTGTGCCATGTAGACATTCGATACCATTTGACAGAATTGCGCCTCAAGCAAGTCCTCGTTGGGGTTCGGGAGTCCGATGCTTAAAGCAACGACCTCAATCATGCCGCACTTTGGTAAGAGCTACTCTTATGCAAGCGTGGTCCTACACTCTGGAAAACCTGAGAGATCTAAAATCTTGCCTGCGCATTTTCACGAGAAGCTCTTGGCGTCTTTACCTTCGGCCTCGACTACAGCTGCGATTAGAGTGTGGAGCCAGCTATATTAGTGAGGATCTCAAGCTCCGGCCCGGATGGTGTGAGAATCAGAGCATTGAGCAGCTGCCCACTGAATGGTGCAGAATTTGGCTCCCCTGCCAGCTCTGCTTTGCTGGCGTCCACATCTGCGGGCATGCTCCTGTGTCCATCTGTTGCAAAGCATGCATTTCACTCAAAGTTGCTGTAATCAGGTTGTAAAGGGTAGAAAGGAGCCACTCCAATTGTGCTCGCACCATCGAGCAGAAAGCCAAAAAACTACCCCGCTTGAGGATTGTCGTTTCAGCAGGCAGTGGACACTGACTTCATGGCACTGCACGCACATGATGCGAGCTTTGCTGTTTCTGGCTGCCTTCTCCAACTCAACTTGCATTAGTTATTTCCGGCAACAGAATCAGGCACAGATGATCCTGGGTCGAGAGCCCCAACCCCCCCCCTCCCCCTTCGTCGTTTTCGGAGGTTGGGATGGTCGCCGCGATGTAAAATTATCAATAGTCCCTGAAATTGCACATGCCGGTGTCAAGTTTTCGGCATGCATGGCAACTTCGCATCCCAAACATGCCAACAGCAGCTGGCACGCGCACAACTGTCGTTGCGTCTTTGTGGGGGCAGGGCGCCAACCTAGGTAATGCCCTCCGACCGCAACCACACCAGAGCAAGGGAATCCCAAGCCACTGCAAAGGGACACTGCAACGCGAAACGGGGAACAGCAATACCACCAGTGCAGCAACAATCAAAACAAGAATGTCAATGAGTCGATACCGACTCCGTCCACACCTGTGTCAACTCCCACAGGGAGAAAGCGACTCAACATAACAGGACTAGCCCAGCCCGCAGAGCACAAACGGATACAAACGGCACAACATGCAGGAAAATTCGATCAACTCTAAGAGCCCGCAGCCACCGCCACCTCACTGTTGGCTGGGTAGGCCCCCTTCACTCATCAGGCCCACACTACTTCCCGCCCGAGTTTGGAAGCGAGCGGGAAATCGAATGTAGTGTGACCAGACAGACACGCCTGTAGGATCTGCTTGGCTGCATGCTGTAGTGAAGACGCCTTCTTTGGCTTGGAAGCTAGCACAGCATCCACGTGCACGGGAGGGATATCCTGAGGTTTGGGGGGGCTAGGTCGACTGTAACCTCACCTTCGCAGCGTGATTGCCAGGTCCGGAAAGAAAGCCCATCCACTGGCGGGGCCACAACACTGCTTGAACATGCATTGTAGCTCTTCGCTCTGTACCCACCCGCCACCTGCGATGACGTAATGTGCAGTTGCAAGCTGAAGCTGCCCGTCCGCAAGGAGTGGAAGCGACCGCCGGGGACGTAGACGACAGAGCCGGCTGAAATGACCTAGGACGAAGCGGAACCCTGGAGAAGAGCGCCTTTCGAAGCCTTCACGAAGCCACAGATCAGTCCCCGCTTCTTACCATAACGATAGCTTGGTGGGGGGGTGCCCACAAGGCACCCGAATTCCTGTCTAGAACCCAACGGTGCCCTCTTCTGCCGGTCAGCAGCTAACAGGGAACCTGGCTGACTGGCTCCTGCTCCTGAGTTTGCCCTTGCACAGGGTTCGGACGGATGTGGGAGGTTCGGATAGAAGCACTACTTGTAACTTGTAACGTGGATCTCGATATGTTAAGTCATGTCGTCCGTCAGTGGGCACTCGCTCGCTACTGAGGACGTGCAGCTCTGCCGCAGCTGCCACGGCTACCAAAGAACGGGTTCCAGTGCCAGGTCGGCACTTACGAAGGTCTTACACTGAATGGTACGTCTCGACCTTTGTCAAGACCAGATCGAAAACCTGTACGTCTCCAGGTCTCAAGCCCACCCTCACAAGCGCCAGGTTCTCCTAAAAGGAATGAAGCCTGCTTCTGGAGTGGCGTACACTTTCAAGAACTGCGCAACATCTCGAGCTCGGACTAGGGATGAAGTGAAAGCGTGATGAGACTGCGAGGCACCTTGTCCAGAGTCACTCTGCTGCCAGGGAAGTGCCCTGCAACACGCACCCTCTTGGTGCCGTTGAGGACATAGATTAGAGCATCCACGGTGTCCTAAGTCCAGCTGGACACTTGATGTACAGGAAAGTGCAAATGTTTGGGAACTTTCCGTACTTCCACCGCACCGCTGACATCAACAGGATTCAAAAGGTCTGAAGCGTGCCATGGCTCCGTGTGCCAGCCGTATGAATTAACTGGTCGCCGACCAACACGTGCGCAGTAAAGATCCACAGAGCCTGATACATGCAGAATTGGAGCTGCAAACCGTGACTTCGCGCATGCGCAACGGTCAAGACAGTGGACCCCTCGGAGAGCAGCCTTTGAGATTCGATCTCCATCATTCCATGTGTCCAAGTTGCAGTGAAAATACAGGAACAATTCGGCACTAGCTGATCGAACTCAGGAAATCTGTCGTCTTCTTTACGGCCAAACTGGAGGGGGGGAACCCCCCTCTCGCTGCATGAGCTCGCAGGAAACCTGTCCCTCTCACTCTCTATCTGTTCTGCTCTTGCGTCTTGTCGTTCGACACCCGACTTTCTGTGCGTGACGGCGGCGAAGGGAGCCCCGGATTTCGGATTTCCTCGATAGCCGGACCTATGGACGTCCAGATACAATAAGGCCATATACGGCGCTCACAGCTCGATATTAGGCGTAGCTTGCTTGCCTCCGTTCTGTCTCTCTTGTGGTCGTTACCTCTGCGTCTCTGCCTGCCTGCCTGCCTGCATGATCCTGCATGACTCCTTCTCTTCTTGCAAGAGCCGCGGTGACTTGAGCTCTTTAAACGATGAATCAGCTCGAAGCTGCCTGCGATGCCAAGAGTGGCATACAGCTTCGGTAGCCACTCTTGAACAGGGCTGAGGCCTGAGACACAGGGACTTGCTACATCAAAACCTTAAGTTCATAACTTTAGACTCTTTAGACTTCCGGCGCAGATCAGTGAGTTGACTCCAAGACAGGGAGCGAAGACTGAATTCTTGCGGCGTCAACGATTTACTCGCGGTTACTGGCTAGCGGTGGCAATCTCGACATCCTTTACTGAGCATTCTTCATGGAAACGTCGTGCTGAACTGAAGTGGTGACAGAGGAGCGGTTCATGCCCTCCACAGCAAACGCCCGGCCAGGTGGAGCGTGCATGTTGGTCCAGAAGCCTGGGATGCTGCACTCCTCTTTTCGAGTCGATTGCAGGGCTACCAATGCTCGCTTCGCTCTGCTCCAAACAGCTTCCCTTGGTCAGGTCTTGCCCGAGTACAGCCCCACTCTGCAGACTCGTCAATCTAATGATGGCCACGGCTGCGGGCAGTCGCCACGGGCGGGCCCCGCCGAGATCCATCGGGAAGCGTCTGGTTGTAGGGTCGCCTCAAGTCTGCGACGACGTCAGAACTGTTTCGGGAAATCTGCCTCCAAACCCATGAAATCCTGATTGATATCTCCGTCTCATTCGCGAGCCAGCCGCTCTACGAGGCTCCAAAGAAGATCCTCGGAGTCTTCCACCGGGTGGGGCACCAGAACCTGCGAGAGCTGAAGAAACGACTGGACAAAGCCCCAAAACCCTTCCCTGCGGCTGCCTTGAAGTTCAGCTGCTCGAAAGCCTCCGCTGTGTCCAAGGCCCAAACCTTGGCTCCGGGTGGGATATCCGAAGCTTGACTAGACTAGGTATCATTGCCAGAGAGATGCCATGAGTTTCACTTCTTATCACGCGGGGGTTCGCTGCTGGAACATTGAGCCACGCACCTCCCACGGATAGTCCTCGATGACCTTCAGCCTCAGTGGCAAGCGCTGCAGGGCATTGAATTGCTAAGCGACACGCCTGCAGCCAGACGTGCTGCTGTCAAGCTTTGCGTTGACATTAACGGACTGCTTCGCAGAGTCGATTCAGTCTGTAGGCTACAGCTGGTTCAGCCGTTCAGCTCTGCGGCTGGTGGGCGTGAGGACTTCAAGACGACACACACGTTCTGACTCAGCCTAAACCCTTTACCAGACCGGCCTTTGCAGAGCGTGCGTCAGGTAACCCCTATCCCTCCCGAGGCGGGTACCTGAAGGGCGGAGCTTGCTGGGTGGAGGGTCGGACCCGAGCAGAGGCGAAGGGGGGGGGGGGGGGGGGTAGTATCTGACGGGCGGAAGTTCAAACCACGGAAAGGCGAGTACCTGACGGGTCGAGGGGGTGGTGGCTGACAGGTGGAGGTTGCTGACGGAGGGGGTTGGGGGAGATCGTGTTTAGTAGACATTGCGCATTATTTAGATTAGAGACACAAATGCGTATAAGATAGATAGGTGGGGGCGGGTACCTGACGGGCGAGCGCGGCTACCTGACGGGCGGAGGTTGCTGAC